CCTGCACCATTACTGCTATTGACTAGGAAACCTGCTGTGGCAAGTGACCTACACTTGGTGAGGGACTTGGTGTCAGAGTTATAAAGGTATGTAAAGAAACAGAAATAAAGATTCTTTTGTGAAATAACTGTTTTGTCTTAGCTTTACATCTCTCAAATTTGAAGAGTAGTAGAATCACAGAAAGTCTGGGTTGGAAGGGTCCTCTGAAGATCAGCTAGTCCGACCTCCTGTTGAAAGCAGGGCCTTAAAAGAAATAATTATCTGCTGAGATGCTGCTGTGTGAGACAAAGCAGTACTTGGGTGCCTCTGAAAATCTGTGATGTAGCAAAATGAATTTTCCTGTGCAAGGTTTTTCTGACCTATGTCTTAATCACCTGACTCCATTTTTAAGACTTGCAAACAATAGAACAACCTCTGGTTTTCATTTTACTTTCTGAACTATCAGCAGGTTGGAGGATGGTGATACAAGGATGGAATGAACTTGAATAGCATTTAATACCTTTTGTTCTTAGAAAACTGTTATAACCATCTACATTTCTTATAATACAATGGTAACCTACAAATATATCTGAGTTTTCTGGTAAACCCTATCTAGAATATTTCTTCCACCAGTTAACACTAGGGCTCTAAGTGGATAATTGGGATGACTTCTGTAAGAGAAACCCTTTTTTTCTTTGCTGGTTTTCACCAAAATTTTAATTGAATATGGTTCCAGGTAAGGCCATAGGACTGACTGGCTAATCACTCCACAGGGTCCACGTGCATAAGCATGAGAAGTAGAAAAAATGTATTGTACACTGTCAATCATTCTTGAGATAAAATACACATAAGACTTTTCTTTCCCTTCCTAATAGCAAAGATATTTCTCATTTATATTCTGTGCTACAAAAGATCTGAGTGGCACTATCTGAGGCCCTTCTACACTTTATGTCATCAGGAGAGCAGCACAAGTGCAACTTGAATATCTATGGGTGTTCATGCATCTGTGCTAGATGTACTTTAGTGGGTGTCACTAATGAAAAGATTTCAAATTCCTGCTAAGGGGTACTTTTCAAGAGGGTGCAATTTTTAAAATGTCTTGTTTAGAGTTTGGAAATTTCCAGTGGTCTGTGATGACCAACGCTACCTCACTTGTCATCTCTTGAAGAAAATGCAAAAGGCAGTTGCAAAAGCAGTTGAAGTGAATCTAAGTGTGACAGATTTCAAATGCCACATGCCCAAGTCTTGGCTCCTTCTGAGGGTAAAACAACGGTGTCTCTTTGCATTCCACTAAATCTGTCCAAATGATATATTGAAATCAACAACATGATGAGCCCTTGGACTTATGAATTAATCAGTAGATTGTCAGCTGTCCTCTCTGTAAGCTTAAGTCAGAATCTAAAATAAGCCTAGTGTTGTTTTTACATGGAGGGTTTAATAGCAGACATAAATATTACATGTATGGCAAGGAAGGCTAGGCGCTTCTGAATCCTACTAGAATTCATGCTGGTAAGCCTCGGTAGTCTGTCACTTGATTTACTTGAGTCCTTTCCTTGCTTTTTCCCAATTCATGAATGATATCTGTATATGGATAATAAATAATCTGGTGAATAACAGCTATAGCAATGTGTTGTCCATTGTGCCCCTGCTCCTCCCATTGCACTACCCAGTGATTGTTTTCTTGGCTCACAGGCTCTCAAGCCAAACAGAAATTTTGCACAGCGTAGCATAATTCCTTCTTTATGTACTTTTCACCTAGCTCTTCCTCTGCTGAGGGAAAATAAATCAACAGCCATCTCCTGTATCCGTGCTGTGGAGCTTGCAATAAGTGGGCAACCTAATTGTACTTGCTGCTGAGCCAATGTTTGGGCTTCTGCCTTCCTCCCATAGCAGCCATCATTAATGCCAATTGATGTGTACCCTTTCCTTGTTGCTAGGTGATATGTGCCTTAAAAAAAGCAGCTTCTATTGCTCAGAGATTCTCACAAATCTTGTTTGCTCTTGGTTCACATGATGTGCAGGGAGGTTCACAGGACCAGAACACAACTCAAAGTTCAGGGCATTTCCTTCTGCTGTTCATTTGACTGTAAATCACTTAAAGATCCCACAGTTTTCCTGACTAAAGAAAGAATGACATCTTCTTCTGGTGGCAGGCGATGACAAGACTTCTACTTCATTGGGTCTTGGACTTTCCCCCGCTCCGATTTTTTGACCAGTGTCCTTCAGCATGGACTTGGCTGCAGTACCCAAGGGTTTTGCTGCAAAACTGGTCTATCACCAGCACTTGATAGGTAAAGTGTTTTCTGAGACTTGGAGAGAAGCCCAAAGATAGGTTTGGGACTCCTACTCTCAAAAAGTACAATCTTGTTGTTTATAATCTATTTAGATGTACCCATCTCTTTGATATTTCAAGTCTGAGTGAGCAGAGAGACTAGATATTATCAAGACTGTAGTCTTACTACTTCGGATTGAATTAGATTCATCAGCCACATAGTGTTGTGTTTCAAGTAGCCTCGTTAACTTTGTAGAGGAACAGCAACTCAGATTCTGTCCCAAGTATGAATTTATCTGATAAAAAGGATCAATTTGATTACTTATTTTTTTCCAGGTCCCTCTAAAGATATGTGGAATGTAAGCGTATCTGCTTATTGACCATAAAAGACTAAGACAAGAGACAGGAGAAGAAATAAATTAAACTCTCAGATACTCAAACCCTGAGGAAGAGGAGATAACAAGACAGTAACAAAGAGCAGAACTCTTAGATCACTGATTGATGGGACCTTAAAGGAACCATTCAGTGCCTTGAGGAGGTTCTGCCAGAGCTCTGTAACTAGTTATCATGGATCTCATGGGAAAGAGCAAACTTACAAGGAGATATCGGAGATAGCTTGTAGGAGCACATAAAACTTATTATGGGATGTTTTAAGGGATGTGGGAAAGTGCTAAACTTATTTTGGGATGTTTAGGGGAGAGCCAAAGACAGTCAAAGGAAGGGGTCAAGATAGATGGGGGAAGAACAAGCATGGGAAAATGGAGAAGAGGAGGGATAAAAGAGGTCGGCTGCATGCAGTCAGGCTGCTGTCAGTAGTTTTTGTCAGGCTAGGCTCTGTGCCTGATCATCACAGTGTGTCTTGTCTTCTTGCTAAACTCAATAATGGAATGTTTTCCTATATGAGTGTACTCTCTATTCTGTGGGCATGTGTATGTGTATGATCTGCTAGCAAATTTCAAGACAGGCTAGATGGTGCGTAGAGTGAGTGCTCTGAGTGCCAGCAACTGGAGGTAGAGACCAAGGGCTGAAGGGGCCTGCAGGTCTGAGGGCTAGCAGCTGGAGAGAGAGACTGTCTGGATATCAGCGACTGAACAGAGGGAGCATCTAAAGGCTGCTGACAAAGGGACCCATTTTTGTCTGTGATTCTAATACGAATTTAAAGCTGGACTAGCTGGTGAGCAGGAGAACAAGAAGAGCTGTGGAAGCCAGCTACCAGAGAGACCATAGGTCAGGACAGTGGAGGGACCAAGGGTCAGAGCCAGCTGCTGGAGAGACCACAGCTCTGGAACAGCTACTGGAGGGACCTGTTTGTGTGTGTTTGGGTGTGAGATCTGCTAGCAAGCTTTCATCAGCCTGTGAGTGAGAAAAGGATCAACCCATTTGTATGTTTATGTCAGTCTTGTTTGTGTGTATGTGGAGACTGTAAAGGTGCTGCTCTCCTGCCTGTCGGTAGTCAGCTGTGACTGTATAGAGTGTGTATGTACATGTGGTGTGGGTTTTTTTGGGATGCCTATCCCACCATCGGCCAGACATGGTGTCAAGGTAATGCAGCATCTGAGGGCCAAAAGAAGGAATCCCTTAGGTTCTGTAGTCCACCAGATTTAGCTTCCCTGTAACAGGTGCGAATTCAGCTTCTCTTCAAGGCTTACTGAAAAGTCAGTTTTGGAGGAAACCTAAACACACAGTATTCCACTAAGAAGGGAATGGTTTTCATACGAAATATGAAATAGAAATATGGGGTTATAGTGGAGTAGCCCCTTCTGCATGTTTATCTGGTAGCTGTAATGTCATTCATGTTAACAGAGGAATTGGGACACCCACAGGGCAGATCTTGTAGGACATTAGGGAGGCCATAATCTCAGATATAAACTCCAAGATAATTACATTACAATATGACTTTTGTTAGGTGTTGTTCTTCTGTGGGGGTCCAAGACGCCTTTCAGATTTATATCTAACATGATTCATTAACAGTAGGAAAAGTGCTTTCTCTACATTTTACTTGATTTTCTTTAGCTGCATATGACACAAAGGGTAGCAGTGGTTTTGATCCTGCTACTGTTTGTTGTTCACATTATAGGCTTCTTTTTGTTTGTACTGTGCTTCTTTATTCATACTACGCTTCTTTTAATTTTGCTTAAAATGCTTTCAATTTTACAGCCATTGTTCTGAAATTAGGTTTTACAATCAACAGCACATAAGTTGCACAAAAGTAAATAGAATTTATACTACACTGCCACTGAAGTGGACTACTACAGCAGTCACTACAATTATCATTGCCTTATACATCAAGGGTTTGTACAGAATAAATATGTTCTTCATAACACAAAGACAGGTTTGCATTTCAGTTGTCATACATTTCCTTTTCATGACCTTTAGTTTTGAAAACTTGTTGCAGCTTTTTCAAGTCTTTCAGATTCTGTCTTCATGATTTCATTCCAGTATTAACAAAACTCTTAGAGTTCATATCCCTAAAAATATCAGAGAAATAAAACAAAATCTGTTATTATCAGGTAAGACAGTGAGAAAAGAATGAAAGGAATCAAATTAAATAAGAGAGAATCTTGGCTTCTGATGTATCAGTTATCTTTCCTGGCCTCAACTTGTACTTTACGCATGTGTCAGATGCAAGTCAGGGTGGCCAATTGAAACTTGGTTCCAAGACAAATGGACAGTTCAGATAAAGCAGCAGATATAATAAGAAGGACTCTTATTGAAGAACTGGTTTAAATTATTCTTAGTAATGGGCAGGAAATATTTTTCCTATCCTGAAAAAGTTTCTGAGATGTCAAAAGGGATTTTTATCTTAATATGGAATGAAAAATCAAAATCTCAAACATTGCCTCAGTAAGATGATCTGTAAAAAAAAATGTTAGGCTGAGAAAAACCCCAGCATTTTTGAAGTGTTGCTATTCAGATTGGAATTTTGTCTTTTTTTTTTTAAACTCTAATTTGCATAAATTTAGAAAATGGAAGAGTAATTTTTAGGTAATTTTGTTTGGTCATTTTATAACGTTGAAATGTGATATTTTAATGATTCTGAAGCTTTTACACCAAAGCTTTAAACTTTTCAAAATGAAACCTGATCTAAAAAAAGTGTTGTCAAACCTAATCTTGTCATATGACCATTTTCAGCTTTGGCTATTTTGCATCTTTTAATCAGAAAAGGTTTCATAAAGAGATTCTGTACTAGCTCTTGTGATGAGACTTTTCGATTTGATGAACTGCAAATCTTTCTTTTGGCAAACTGGACTCATATTGAAATGCTTAGGGAATATCCTTTGAGGAAGTCTGGTTGTATTTGATCATTGCTAACCTATGATTTAATATGCATTTTAATATACAGCTTGAAAACTTGCGTAGTATTACCTGGTTCATGTTCCTGAATGTCTTGAGACAGATTGACAGACAGTGACTTCCCAAATCTCTGTGGCAAATTTAGAAGTGCTTGACTGGAACTTCTAACAAGTGGAGATCTCCCAAGCCTGTGTGATACCTTTGGAGCACGCCTAGGTATGTTCTGTTCAAAAGCTCTCCCAAATCTCAGAGGCAAATTAGCAAATGGTTTAACGCTTCTTTCTTCTGGGTAATTTCTTCCAAACCTAAGAGGTAAATTAGCAACTGAATTTGGCATCTTGTTTACTGTAGGAGGGTTCATTTTAATGCTATTTTTTGATCCCCAGTCTTTCATTTCTTCAAAATTGAGACTCCTCTGCTTTTCTTCCAAGATCTAAGGAAAAAAAAAATAAAAAGGATACTATCATTTTATTGGGCATTACTCCACATTACTCCAGCTGCCAATCACACAAAATATTCATTTTCATATCTCTTTAGAATGCTACTGGGAAACACTCTTTTTTTGGATATGTAATGCTTTTTGGCTATATTTGCTAAACTCCATTGCAATGTGAGCTACTTCATGTGGATTACTTCATATGCAGACATTGTCTTGCCTACCTTTTCAGTACACTGACCACAAGAGCACATCTCCGTATCAATATCCACAACTGTTCCAATGGTGTTAGTCAGAATTGGTGGCTGTAGGTCTTGGTACCTGTGCCACCAGTTAAGTGTGGACCTGTCAGGTCCACGTTTGCTAATATCACCAACTGAAGTTGTCTGGAGGGGAAGATGCTGACTGTATTTAGTGATTTGACACAGACCCAGCTTCTTAATCATCTGGTCTGGATGAACAGAAGGATGGGCCAAGGTACTTGAAGGTGTAGCTCATTTCTTCCTAAGCATTGGGTGGATGCTTTTGACCCAATATCCTGCTGGGCTAACAGCCAGGGAAATGAATAGAAAGCGTTTGGGTCAAGTCTACATCGTGCCTATTCTGGCCTTACAGCATAGAGATTGCCCTGAGCTTTATGTTGCTTCAGTCCTCCACTAGTACACAAGATGCATTAAGAGCTCCTGGGCTTCTAATTTTTGTGTATCCAGCACAAACTCTACTCTCTGTGTCTATGCTGGCATACAATGAAGAACTGAGCCTAGTGTATTACCTATCTGATGATGTAAAGGGCAGCTGTTGCCTGAAAAACAGCTGTATCGACATGACCCTTTTTATATAGCAGTGTTCCTTCCCTGGGCATATTGAAAATAATTCATTTTTATGACAAAAATAAATTTCCAAGCCTTAACAACAAATATGTACAAACATGTTTGTTTATTTTCAGTTAAAGAAACAAATGCTACTAATCTTAATTTCAGTTCCTTGTCCCTATTTGTTGACTTGCCTGGGAGCTTCTCCAGCCACTGGGAGAGAAGGGGAATGAACCATTCTAGTTCATCCTCCATGACTGAAACATTAAATAAACTGTCCCTCTGATTGCACCTGCACACCCCTTCTGAAGTATATAAAAGACAGCGAGGTGAAGACCAGAGGATTTCACTACCATAATTAAAGTTGTGTTTTGGTTTGAAGTATTTTTATTACACCTATGATGATGATTCAAAAAGAGAGGCTGGCTCTCATTTCCCAGGGAGTATTTGCAGGGCAGACAGGAAAAATAATACAGATGAACCGTGCAAATTTCATTTGGCATCTATTGAGACATAATAAATGTGCAACCCTGCAAAGACATTTTTATAGTCAATTTCCAGAGTAGAATTTTAAGACCATTAACTATATTAAATTTAAAATGTTCTCTGGTTATGATTATTCTTTGAGTATCACAAGCATGCCTTTATTAATTTTGGATTAATAATGCATCTGTTACATTATGTGCATAAAATGCCTGACAGGAATGTTAATTGAGGCCCCACTGTGTAAGTAAGAAGAATTTCAGGAAAAGTCTCAACCTAATCACAAGGCTGTGTTGCAAGAAAATTGAAACATGAATTGATTTACACAGTAAGTATGTCCGAGCAAACGAATTTCCTGAAAATTCTTTCAACGAGTGTTTTTCGTACTGCTAGTGCTGTAATACTGGATGTTGTACAATGAGGTTAGGAGAACCTTTGCCGAAAAATTCAAAGTGCTCAGGATCTGACCCCCAGTTCCCCCAAATGATGTCATAGTAATACGGATCTTACCTTGTAATATTTATCATCATCATCTTCTCTACTCTGCAGACTGAACTTCATCGCTTCATCTAGGCACATACTATTTGATGTTAGAAAGACCACTGTAGCTAAAGCAAGTAGAATAAACTTGGTTGAAATTACTTCCATTTTTCTCAAATTAAGCTTACTTAGAGAGCTCAGAATCTGTACAGAAAGGAAACCAGCCATCATTTTATATGATCAGAAAACAAAAAGATGTTACCTGTGACGTCAGTCTCAAAAGCTTCAATTCTTAATATTAATTAGGAAAGTAATTTGAATATATTTGAAGAATGTTGGGAATTTCTTTTGTGAACCTTTTTAACCAACATAGCTTCTTGTTAGGGACACGCTGACTTTACAAATATTTTCTTCTGGTGAAATATGTCTTAATTAGCTAAATTTGAGAGCCATAACAGTAGGGACTTAAACCAGCCACAATGTTCCATCACCAGTAGACAAAACCACCTTGTTTGTTTCTTTTGTATCAGCGTCCTCAGAAGGACTATGAAAGGAAGGTTTCTCCATGTATGTGTTCCTCTGCTTAAATGATCGTTTTGGACCATATAATGCTTGTTTATAGCTAAGTACAACATTTGGCCCACTGAAATCAAATGCTGTCTGTTGAAGCTGTTGATCAGGTCGTAAGAGATGTTATGCATCAATGAGACCTATTGACTTACATAGTGTCTGCTCTAAATTGATCATGTTAATTTGCATTCAGACTCAATTAGGAACATGCTTTTAAAACCCTGCCTATCAGTTAAGTTTCTAGAAATTTCAAAGGTTGTGCTACATCTATATTCTTAAGGCCAAATTTCCAACAGCATGTTTTAAAAAGGCATCTGCCACTTTGCTGCACATGGTGAAAGCACTGGACTGCCCATGTGTGTTCTGTCCCAGAAAGGGATTCATGCTGCACAGTAAATGTGCCCTTAAAGTGCACATTGAATTGGTTGCTAGATAGGCTGATGAGCCAGGCTGCCATAAAAAAAGCATATTGTGTTGTTTTTCCATTTGCTGTTCTTAAATTCTTGAAATGATTGCCTAAATCTCATATGTTAATACTTGAAATCAGCCGCATAAGGAGAAAATCTGATAGCTCATGGTAAATACTCACATTGGAAAACTGGACTCTAGACAATTCAACACCAAGTTTGTAAAACATTTGTTCCATCACAGCACTGGGAAAGTTGTCCCAAGAAAACATGTTTTATGCTGTGGCCAGCATGGGTAGTATGGACTGTTTATCTGTTGACAGTATGTTACTGTGTTTACTGCACTGTGAAGCTGAAGGATTTGTAAGTAACCTCATTTTAGAATTAAGTTGGCAGTTTTTATGGGTTTAAAGCTGTGTGGCATGCATGGAGTCATTTCTGCCTTGGATTCTTTGAAACTGAGATCCTGAAGGCCTTAAGCGGCTTTGTGTTAGAGCTAACGAGATACTCAAAACTCCTTTTGGACTCATGAGAACCACACGTTGTATGTTGGAAACTGCTCTGACATGACTGCTACTCTAACTTGACCAAGATAACAGGAAACACTAAACTTATCACCTAAATTATTTACTAGAGCCACTTAAAGTGAAATAAAATAAAAATAAATTCCAATGAATGATCTCCTCAGGAGAAATAACAACTTCTTATTTCCCTCTACCACACTTCAATCCTTATCCAATAGCAGGAGAAGCAGCAAGTCCCTGTTGTCCAAGCTTGGACCATCTTGTCCCCATTCCCCATAGATACATGGTTCCTGTCTCCCCCAACTCCTGTAATTACTGGGGATCATCTAGGGTAGGAGGAGAGTACCTCCTTGAAGGTGACAAACGTAAGCAATTTTAGGGGTAATTTGAACCTTCTTGAGGAAAGGATGACATGAGGGGGCTAGGGAGATATTGCACAATGCCTACTACCAGACTCATACTTTCTAGTGAACCCTCTGGCATGTTGCTGTTATAGAGTGGCAAAGAGTGGACTAGACAGGTGACGTGTATGATCTTGCCTGGTAATTCCTGTGAAATACCATTTTTTTAGCCTGGCTTCAATGCCAGCTCACCTGCCATCATTCCCCGTGTTTGTTCCAGGTAAACGGTGTACCTGCATCGGAGGGAAGCTCTTCCATGAGCTCTGAACTGTGGGGGATGAGTTCATCCCTGAGTTAAGGCCAGCTGCACTTTGGACATCAAAGCATTGATTTGCCATGCTAGACTACCCTCTGGTGGGGCTCAGATTAAGGGGTCAACCAGATGAGAGTGCTGACCCAGGAGCCAGATGTAGAGGTAACAACTGGAAGCACAGCTGTGTGGGGAGAGCTGGTGGGGGGAGGCGGTGTCCACCTAAATGGCTTGTTACTGGTACCTCAGGTGAACCTGCATGGCACAGTGTGTGTGGGGAAGCACTTCCCTTCCCAGGGGAGAGGGAAATCCCGTTGACAGAGCTGAAAGTGAAAAGGGAACAGTTTCTCAGGTGAACTTCCCCAGGTGGAGAGAGTGTGAAAGATTCTGCTCATTTTTTTATGTGTCAGGAGACCATTAAATTGTTAAAATAGATGAGAATGGTATTAGTAAGCTAATTAGGAGCCTCTGTGAGAAAAGAATGCATTTTAATCAGTCACTGGCTTTTGTGAGCCTCTTTCTGTTATACACACTATTACATTCATTTCCTCTTTGTTTCTTTGCTGTGTGTAATCCTTCTGGCCCTGGCTGACAGCAGAAAAGGTTAGGTTCAAAGATCTGGCTCTTCTTTCAGAAAACTGCTGGAAAAAGTAACGTGTGATGGGAACAAGCATGGCTCTGCATAGTCTTGAAGGGCAATGCTTCCGCTTTGCATTCTCTAAGACTGTTCTACAAGATGTTGTTTTGGGGTGGGATGTGGTAGATGAGGAGGGAAAAGATACTGTAACAGTAATGATTCATGAAGAGTGGATGTGTGTGCATACATGAACAAATGTGTGTAGGAAGTAAGAAAGCATCATCTGTCCTCAGAGTGTCTTGGTATTAGCCCTTCTCTCAGAGTAGGTGACTTCTCTCTTTTTTTTGAAAATAACAAATATTCTTGTCAGGGAAATGGAGTTTTGGGAATACCAAAATTTTGGTATTTGCAAATCTGGGCTAAATTCTTTGAAAAACAGAGGGAATAAAAGGAGGATGTCAACAGAGAAGACCTCTAAAAGGAGCCCATGTCCTCTTAGTGCTCTGGCAGGTCAGGGGCACCAATTGTCTGTTTCCACCGCAGGCTGAGTGTGGGTTCCTGACTCTCTGGAGCCTCATGTCAGGGGTCTTCCATCTGTGGGAACAGATGGTTTTTCCAAGTTCCTTTTCTTTATGGTAACAATAAAGACAATAATGAATGCAATTCATGAGCTGATATCTATCTAACATGTGGTCATTTACTACTGGGCTTTCCTTTTACCTAGCTGCTGGTTTATGAACCTCTCTTGATCGATGGTCTTTCAATTAACTGTGTGAAGATATTTGCTTTCTAAAGTAAATGGAATTGGCAAGATCCAAAAACTCTCCTGCATTGTTTGGCACAAATACAAATTCTGTTTTCCCTAGACAGAATAGGAAAACGTATTGCTGTTGTCTAAGCTGCATCAGGCTTTCCTGACATTCAGTTTGTCTCCTATGTATGTTAATTTTCTAATCAACATAAAGTGAAGTTTTCAGGTGTTTTGCATGCCAGGCAGTCAGAGAGTTGTACATCCCTGTACTTTCTTATGGATTAATTTGTCTTTGATGGCTCTACAGCAGGAACTCTTTGGAAATTGCAAGTCAAGCAGTTACTATGATTGTTCATTATCTTTCCTGGGGAAGGAGTTGTCAGACCTTAGCACTCAAGTACCAGAATGGATAATGTGAGGACTTTTAAGCAATGTGACTGCAAATTCTGCTGTTTAGACCATCTTCAGTAGCATCATAAGCTGGCCCAGCTGACTTCAAACTGAGGTAACTGAGGGATCCTGGCATGATCTATTCAAATTACATATTTGTGTAAGGAAGCCACATTTGTTGGTGGCAACAGTGTTGGGGAAGCGGGTTGGCTGTTCTCGAATTGCTCCAGCTTGATCCACCAAGGGGGTGATTAAGGCATATGGAGGAGAGTGGGCTCTGAGTATTATTGAAAACAACTTTTGAGTTCCTAGCCTCTTGTCCCACATTTGTTTTGTCTTGCTATCTTACATCACCCACCAGCCGAGCTATTCAGAGGACTTGACCATAACTGAGCTTCTGTTTTGAAAATTCCCCAGTTAAATAGGAGCGAGCTCTCCCATCTACATGTGAAAAAATCCTCACAGGCAGGGCCAATTTTCAGAATTTTCCTACACGTTCCTGTTACAAACTAAGACAAGGTAGTGCTTGCTTCTTTTATTCCTTTCATTTAGTGTAGGTAGGCACAGGAAAGAGCATTTATTTTGGCTTACTGGTACAACAGCAAAGTGGATCTGTTCTGTGATGAGTTACTGCAGTGACTTGGTGTATATCTACTTTAAAAATTTGACATTAAAATGTAATTAGTAATAATGGCAAGAGTAGCTCAATTTTATAAGCAACTTGATGCACAGTAAGTTATTTGACTCTAGTGAAAGAACAAGTTTTAATATTGCTCTTTCTTTATATAAGAATATACTGATAAATCCTTATCCATTATTAACAACATATTGTGTGAAAATTGCATGTTATATGACTCATGCCACCAATAAGCATCTGTGCATTTCCATAATGATAAATCATTCATAATATATTCATTTTGCCATTATGTGTTATATGACCTATCCTATGGCTCATTTTGAAGTAAGAAGATTTAAAAATGTGTAATTTTTTTCATTGGCAAGCAATTCTGTTCATTTTTCTTGAAATTTTCCCTGTGGCATGCAGTGGGTTGTGCTCTTTGCTGTGTTGTGCTTCAGTTCTGGTGCACGATCCAAGGTGTATTTGCCTGGAATATATATGGCTCTCAGCAGTCACACCTCCACTGCACTCAGTGTCCTGACTTTGTATACCAATGTAGGCCTGGTGTCCCTCTTGTACTGACAATAAATATTTCAGTGATCAGGGAAACTAGTGAAGCCTGGTTTCCCATGACTTTGTGATTGAAGTCTAGATGACAGTATATATTCTCTGAGGTCCAGTAAGG